AAATTCGCGTTTATTTCTTGATTTGTTTTGCTTCTGATTGGTCCACAAAACAGAGTTTCTCCAATCATTTGCTAAAATATTTCGCGCATTTCCACAACTCAAATGGAATCCAGCGTCAAACAAACATAACGTTTTAAAAGCTACCTTGATACAATCACTGACACATTGTCACGTACTACCGTTGTAATCCGGTTTCGTCCCCTCTCCCCTCTCCCACAGAACACGGAATTTAGGTGCAAGCGCCATCCAATATTAACGTGAGTGACACGTGACACACGTCACACACTCGCGCGAGACATGTAGAAACAAATCTAGTTCATATATTCATTATATTTCCATTTTCATTGTATAGCTCTTTTATTATATTATACAGCAAATATGCCCTTAATCTTAGCACAGCTAATCATTCTTAAAAATTACAACTTTATCATATAGTTATACCTTATGTAAATATAACGCGATCTTTATTTGCTTTTCTTATAAGGCTAATAATAATATACCATTTACAGTTTTTGTAAGATAAATAGAGAGTATTGTTCATGAACTTGGCTCATGTCTTCTATTTAGCTAACTAAAAACCTATGTTATGAATTAATTAATATAGAGACGCCAATCTTGAATAACTTTAGCTAACTTTATACCTTAACTTTAATTTATGCGCATTTATACATGCATTAATTTTAAGATAAATAATGTTTCCTAATGCTTTTTCTGTTAATAACTTGTATTTACATTGTACGATTTAAGTCGTCGCTTTCATCTTCGACCTCTTCCAGCATGTTATCCATAGCATTTGCATTATTGTATCGTCCAACGTTGGACAAAGTTGGAGCCGACCCCCATTGGGGTGGTTTGAAAGTCATGGATTTGTTAAACTCTCCTAAATCATCATCTTCACTTATATTCATCAAGCCTTGATAAGCGCGGGTATACAACTCCATAGACCGGGCTAAGAGCTCCATTTCACCAACCACGAACTCCGATAAAATCTGTTTAACATCTCGCATTTTTTGGCTTTCGAACTCGTTCATTTGTTCGCGTAGAACCCGCAGGGAACGATTCGCTTCGCCAGACGCCTTCTGAAATTCTGCCTGTGCTCTCGCAATTCTTGTTCGGTCTGTGGATTTCATCTGGGCTTTTTCGAGGCTCTCAAATGATTTCACCTCTCTCGTGCAGAGCGAAGAACTGACCCTGACGTCATTCCTCGCTTGCTTGCATTTTGTGTCGTACACGCTGAAACCTTGAACTAGTTTCCCTTCTAGTCGACTGACTTCAGCGTCTCGTTGATCTTGAATGGCCGATAGACATTCGGACAAAGTCATTAACCCTTGTTTCATTGACGGCGATTCTTCTTCAGCATAAGCCGTTATTGTTTTTGAAAGCTCGTCTCCTTTGTCGCGTAATTTCGCTGTTCCCACTGCGTATCGTTGAAGCATAGCTGCGAGTTTCGGGAAATGGGTTTCAACAACGAATATCTTTCTGTCGACAACTTTGGTTTGGTGCTCTGTGGCCTTTACTGAAGCTTTTAAATCAGGTAGTGAACCCGTTAAATTTCGATCTTCTCTGTTCAGGCGGGCCATCGATATGGACAGACCATAGAGGCAGTCGTAAGGTGTTTGTCGTTCGAAAATGTCGTTTCAAAGTCGCGTGCGTCTTGTCATATTCAAATTAGGACAATGCAAAGTCGAACAAAGCCACAGCGACAACTTTGCCTCAAATTTGCATGTCAATGAATCTCTGTTGCGTTACGGAAGACAAACTGTGACATGTATCGGTCTCGTTGTCAGCGCCACATTGTTTAGTTGAGGAAAAGATCTAGAAATGTTGAAATCTGTTGAGGCGCGACCAACTACGAAGTCGAAGATGAACGTGTGATGAATAAGATGCCGTTATGTATTTTAAATCCAGTCAGTTGGCTTTCGATGCCAGACTTCATCTTCGTACTCAGTCCCCAATCCTTGGGCTCAGGCCCGGGGAGGGTGGTACTCCCTTTTATGAGCTATAAAGGTATGTGCGGCCTCAAAGGGTAGGGTTTTTCAGCCGTTTTAGTCATAAACAGGGTATCGAATTTGGCCATTTTGGTTATAAATAGGGTATGGTTTTAGCACTCTAGTCTTGAATTGGGTATGTTTCTTAGAAGAAGCTACCTTTTCACCTCTATCGATAAAACCATAGTTACTAACTATGATAAAACCGTCAACAAAAGCCCTTCATAACTTATGTTTGGGGCAAATGTGTCAGCCGCAACGGTCATAAGTAGGCTATCGAATTTTTGAACAGGTCATAAATAGGGTAGAAAAAAACGCAGATTTTGGTCATAAATAGGGTAAGGGTTTTGGGAAGTGGGCCGCACACCCCCACCCAATTTTTCTGGAAGTATCCCTCGGGGGGTTCAGGCTCCGACCACACTAATATGTATTTAAAAGTATCAGTTTTCGTCTCGACTAAAAACAGAGCAAAATATTTTCGACCACACTAGCGTTTTCGTTTTGTTCTCACCAGTTCACACTAATTCGTTCAGTTTTCATTCGAAAACGCATACTTTTTGATATGTTTTCGCTTACCGTCCACACTAAAACACCCGAAAACGTTGATGGAAGCGACGGTATATAACTTCAGATCATCCTCCACTGGTGGCCATTGCATACAAAGCCTTAATTTTCACTAGTGTTATTCAGACTACGTTTTTCATGAGCAAAATTTGCTGAAGCTTGTTAGCTGTCAAGTTGAACGATGTATATCTGTGTGTATGTCAAGTTGAACGATGAATATCAGTGTGTATGTCAAGTTGAGCGAGGTATATCTGTGTGTATGTAACACGAAATGTACTTGTGCCAGTTTATGGCAAGGTGGTTCGGTAGATGATTAAGTTCTTGCTTGTGTCAGCAGTAAACGTTGCTACATATTCATGACTCAGTGTTTTTTTTACAAATTTTCATTAAAGACTTTCTGATAATTTTAAATCTAAAAGTCTAGACATTTCATATTTCATGCCTGGCTTTCGTTTTCGTGCAAATGTTTGTAACATGATACAATTTTTTGACAAATGTTTAACCTTCACTTCGTTTTTGTAACTTGATATTTTTTGCTTTCGTGCAAGCTCAAGTAGCATTATACTTTGTTTCTGATGCAAACGGTTACAACTTGGAACTTCATGTTCAGGGCAAATCTTGGAACACGATGTTTTTGTTTTTCGTGCAAAACGTATGACCTTGGCGCTTTCGTTTTGTTCTGTTTTTCGGGTTTTTTTGCTTACAGTCCCGTTTTCGTTACCAAGCTGATATCTACAACTTACAGTTTCCAGCGGGACCGAAGAAATATAGTTGACGATAGTTCCAACTATCATTCACTGTCATTGACTATCAAGACTGTCTGAACGGGGCTTAATGTGCGCATGGCATGAAATAGAGATTATCATTCTCGTCCCGTATTCCGCGTGGCTGAACAAAAGAGTCGCGGCCTCTGGGACTAATTGAGGGAAATTAAAAGATGAACCAGTTTGTATTACATGTAATGCAAATTGGCTTTAAAGATCTTTACGTGAAATGGGGTTTGTCCCGTAAAGTCACATACGCAAGGTACAAAGCAGTTTTGAATTGTAGGAACAACAACAAAAAAAGGCGACACTTGAATTAATCGCACCGACAGGGAGGTATGGGTGATTCAGGGGATAGTGATTGTGTCAGAGATTATTTTAACAATAGACTATTGTTTGACTGGTTGTAGTTTTGGCTTGTAGTACCTGCTACGGATGTATAACGCCTTCTGAATTATTAAATGCTAAACTGAAATCGGAATTCAATTGCCCGTGAAGAAAGATATGCAGCCACACCTGAAGTTCTTTACATCTCACAAATTTGGTATTTTTCCAATGTAGGCTTTCAAGTTATTTGCGTGAGACATCATACGAGTTTAGAAAAACTTGGAGCGGAGCATTTGGGAAGAGTTCCAACTGTAAATATTTGGCGACCGCAGTTTTGAAAATCAACTGGGGTGCGCTGGGACCGGCGGAATGAGCTGCATAATTTCGTTGTCATACGAGAGATGCGACCAAGGAAACCTCTAATGTGTTGTCAATAACCACCTTTTTGGAACTTTTACTACATAGAAATGGCTTCCAAACGGGGTCCGCGGAAATCTGTGGCATTCAGAGAAGAAAGCCCGGAAGATATCTGGTGTAAATATTGCAGCAAACTGTACGATGAGCCAAAAGTGCTGCCGTGTTTACACACGTTTTGCAAGCGGTGTGTAGGTTTAATTATGGGAGAAAACGAAACTTCACTGTTCTGTCCTGTGTGCCGCTCCGAGGTTGCCTTGCCGTCGAAAAATCTCGACGATTTGCAGCCAAACATAATTATTCTCAGGAAACTTGAGGAGTTTGAAAGGCAAAAATTACGACAGCGCGAGGAAGATTGTAGTGGTTGCGAAAATGGCCACAACGTGGCTTCACACAGGTGCATGGAGTGCCAAGAATTTCTCTGTGATGATTGCACACTAGCTCATCAAAGGGTAAAGTTTACAAGAGAACATGAGATCTTGTCTCTTGAGGAATTTGTCGATAAAACAAATCCAAAGGAAGATTCAGTGTTCGTGACTTGCGCTAAACACAACACTGAAAATATAGACATGTACTGCAAAACTTGTGATTTATTAACATGCAAGGAATGTAGAAGAACCACTGATCATGGAGACGGACACGAACTTATTTCGTTGCAAAATGCAGTCGACTCGATTAAACCAACGCTTCTGTCATTGCTGGACGCGACGCAGAAGAATATTCCCGCCTTGCAGAAGTCGGTTTACGAGATTATCAAGGTGTACGGTCGGTGGCAAAATAAAATCGATGACGTCTCGTGGCAAATTCGGAGAACTTCGCGCCGCCTCATTCAAGCTGTCAAGGAGAAGGAACATCAATTGCTAAAAGAACTCAACACCATTAGAGATAACCGTTCTTCGGTACTGGTGAACCAAAAGGAAGAGATTGAAAGGAAGTTGGTTTGCACAATCGATGGATGTGATTTCTCTGACGAGATTCTCAAACAAGGAAAAGAAGCCGACATATTAGCGGTGAACAGTTTGATTTGTCAGAGGTTATGTGAGCTGCAGGAAAGTAAAATCGACGCAGGTTTAAGTAATGTTCAAGTAGGATTTGATCCAGATGAGAGGCCAATTTTAGAAGCTATAAAGGACACGTTTGGTTCGATTAGTGTTGGACATGAACCGGCCGAACAAGCTAGCAACGATGGAGCCAAAGAACCTACAGATAAATCAACGTTATCAAGCTCGTTGCCGAATGGAGGTAGTTCTGTTTCGTTTGCTTCAGCCGATGACGACGAAACTAGTGCCAGTTCTCTTTCTTCAGATTCGCAAAAGCCTGGTGCTGACATGAGTTTGTCCGTTAGTGAGCGTGCGATAAATCAAGATCCAAAGTCCTCCAAAAAGGCAAAAGGCGGTCGGTTTAGCTTTCCAGCTTTGACTGTTGGTAAGAAAACTAGTGAGCCCGTGGGAAAGCTAACGCCGACGGAATTCGTCATTCCCACGACCGATAGCCGAGGACGTCCGAGAGAAGTCGGAGTCCAGCTCGAGTCACCCGACGGTAGTGTCATTTCGGCTAAAGTCCTTGATAACAAAAACGGAACGTATTCAATTTTCTACTGTCCGAGGTCCCCAGGGGAGCATAATTTGTTCGTGAGCTTATCCGGCAAGCATATAAAGCACGGCAGACGCGTTTTGAATTTCTACGGATCTTTTTCTGGTTTGAAAGGGGAAGAACTGACGCTGGTGTGTAAAACGTTGTGCTTGATAAAGTGGCACGTGACCCCTGGCTTAGTGCAAGTAAAGGACGGCAAAAAAGTGCCTAACACTGAAATGAATTTTCATGAAGTCGGCCAGTCAGAGGCATAATATGGTCAAATGCCACGCCTGTCAATGATGTGACACCGTAAGGTCACATGCCCCTCCCCCCCCCTTCCCCCTTCCAGTGACGTGCTTTGTTACAGGATCTTAGTAACAGAAAATCACAATCTTATCTCCCAACTTTACGAATTTCATTCTGTAAAGGACGCATGTGAAAGGACGAGTGTTGAAGCTCCCTATTACATGGCTTGCTCCGCGAGTGGCCGCCAACGCCATCAGTGGCAACCCAAGCGGACAAGGTGAGGTTATCTTGTCCGCTTGAGATTACCCGCTGTCTTCTGCGAGAAAATGGTCTGACCAAACTTGTTTGACTGAGGTAGCTGAATATTGGCCATTATTTTTTTAATGGACCGAGACGCAGTTGAGGTCCATAAAGACACAGAACTTGGCCAGTATTCAGCCATCTTGATTTCACGCTTTCAAGATTTACCTTTCCAAAGTAAACCTTAATATTGTCTGCTTGACGCGACTTAAATGTACTGGAAAAAAAATTTCTGAGCGAGTTTTTAATTGGCCAGTTTTGCAAGCATTTCGCGCTAAACTTTGCAAAAAATAAAATAACTTTCGCTTCAGCTTGCTCAATTTCCCTTTTAGTTAATTTTTCAGTTTTTTCAATACTTATAAACAGCGAAAAAGTCTTTTGTGCATGCATGCCTTTTCCTCTAGAATTATGTAATTTTGATTATTCGTTTTGCCGAATCCACGTTGGATTGTGCACAGTGGGGGCCCAAGAACGCACATGCGCATGTTATCAGACGTCTCTTTGCTAACCGTTGTTCGAAACATGCCTTAAACAAGTAATAAAATAATACAAAAGTCCATTCTAGATAATAAAATTGACAGCTTTAATGACTTCTTGTGTTAAAACCAGGTAGCGCAGATTTTTAACCAGAAATTATAATTACAAACACAAGTTTTACAAGCAAAAGTATTTCAGATTTCTTTATTCTTTGCTAAGATGTTAACAGCTAATCTTTTCTACTGCTACACGTTGTTTCAGTATTATCATGAGCTACAAAGGTCTCTGAATTTGATCAATCAAGACCTGTCAACTTCTCATCGAGGAGAAACTACAAGTTTAAGTGTCAAAACACGTTACATTTTATAAACTTCCTGTGAAGGATTTGTGATTACATAACCTTGAGGCTTAGAATGGAACTAACGTTAATTTGATATAAAGTTTATAGATGACGTAGTCATCACATAGATATGTCAGTAAATTTCAAAATGCGAATGGAAAAAGCAAGTGATTAAGTTTTACTTCCAAGCGAATTAAAAAGCTTAAATTCTACTGCTCCTAGAGCATCAGTTTGATGCCTCAATTTGATCTCTGTAAGTATAAATTTAGGTTTCCCTGTATCCGTATAAACAACATATCTTCCCCCAGGGGCATAGTAATTGTCGGCTGCAAAACTATCAAAGCAGTTTCTAACCACTGTCTTCAGTAAAAGCAAAACTGACTGTAAAGTAATCATTTTGGCCAACCAAAGCAAAGGCACAAAACCAACAACAACACCGTGCAACCCGTGCTGAGGGCGGGAAAACGAAAACACGAGTTCCTAATTGGCTGAAAAAGAATCAATGTTTCCTCTGATTGACCAAAGCAGCAGATTACATGAAGTGGTTACTTGAGGTTTGTGGACGAATTTGCACAAATTACGTAGCTCAGCCTATAAAAATCCAAAAGAAAGATAATTGTCTTCAAAAAATCTCGGTTTCCTGTAATTATAATTCTTGAATTGCTTTGTACAGTGTCAGAAAAAGCCCCAACAGAATACGGACCAATACGTGTAGGTTGGACTAAGTACTCATGCCAATATCCGTCGGTAAGTTTTTCTCGCGTGGTATCCTTTTCGTTCTCTACTCGTTGGGAAAATAGAAAATCTTAACAGAATTATTTCCGGCGTCAGCCACAGCAACCCGGCCTTCCGGAGTGTAATCAATTCCAAGCGGCCCGCTCAACTGACCGTCTCCACTCAGTTTCCCGCCAAACTTGGTCACAAAGCGCAAGTGTGAGTTAAACACCTGCACGCGATTGGTGCGGTCAGAAACGAAAATGTACCCGGATGAATCAACTGTTATTCCCGAGGGATAATGAAAGTCGCCATCCCCCGTGCCGGGCCTGCCGAATTTTCGCTGAAATTTCCCCGTGGGGTCGAAAATTTGCACCCGATGATTTGAAGTGTCTGTAACATAAATCTCGCCATCTTGGCAGACAGCGATGTAGGAAGGGTTGTTGAAATCTCCATCTTTCGTTCCTAGTGATCCAAACTGGTTGCTGTAGACTCCATGACTGTTGAATACCACAACTCTGTGGTTCTGCTGATCTGTAACTAGTAGCTGGCCTTCCTCGTCGACAGCTACACCCGTGGGATTCTTAAAATCTCCAGCGTTACGACCTTTGCATACAATCACTTTAGACAGTACTCCCTCCATACTGAAGACCTGAATTCGGTTATTCTGTTGATCTGCAACGACTATCTGTCCGCTTTGAGAGAAGCAAAGACCGGTCGGCGAGTTTAACTTTCCAACATCTTCACCAGGACTTCCAAACTGCCGCAGAAAACCTCCCTTGCTGGTGAACAGTTGAATTCTATCGTTCAGTGTGTCTGCAACAGCAATAACGCCGTTGCACGCTGCAGCAACATCAGAAGGACTGTTAAGTTCGCCTCTTCCTTTGCCTTTGTAACCAAACCGTAAGCAAACAGGAAGAGATTTCGTAGCAAAGCACATGTGCCCCTTTTTGACGTTCACGGAGTAAGGGCTTTCTTCCACTTCCTCTCCTTTTGCAAGAACCGTGATCACGTGCTCTCCGTGAATTCTCGGCGTGTAACTGAGCGTGTAAAGGTGTGAACTGTGCTTTGTCACGTTACAAGTGAGAATGACTAGATCAGGTGTTTCGATTCGAACATCCAGGTCATGTTTGTTGATCTCTGCGTCCTCCCGCACAGCCAAAGTGAAGCTTGAGGTCTTACCAACCGCGGCGTTGTACAGGCCCTCCCCGATAAGACGCACGGCGGGGGGCCTGGTGCTACTCTCAATCTTGCCGCCACTTTTAATGATGCCAAACAGCAGCTCCTCTTCAGTGACGTAATCAAAATCTGGTCCTTCCGTTGGCGACATGTCTTGCATCATGTCTGTTAAGTTGCGCAATCGCCCGGCCATGAAATCTTTTACTCTGGCGATTTCGGCAGCATTTCCTTCCTGAAGCATCTTTTCAATTAGTTCGCAATTGCTCTCGATATCTCTGATTCCTTTGTACAGGCGTTCCTTTTGTTGTTCTAGCAATGTTGCTTTATATTCTCTCATGGCCCCCAAATCGTCCAATAGCTGTTCCTCGCGCTCTTTCAGTGCTCTGATGTAGCGTGTCGTCGAGCCCTTAATTTGCTCCTCAATCGCTAGAGCATGTTGTGGGATGTCCCCACATGCCTCTTCTATCTCCAACAGAGCTCTTTTGACGAACGGACTCTTCATTTTAATCGCGTCTAGCAGTGCGGTTATCTCTTGCCTGTGTTTACCGGACGCGTCTTTTAGCGGCTCGAACGCGTGCGTTGTTTTTGGGTGACTCACCACCGTGCACTCACGGCAGATTAGCTTGTTGCACGTTTGGCAAAAGTACGTCAGTTCTTCGCCGCTGTGATCCGAGCAATGGTCCCGGCTGCACAAATTATTGTTCTCTTCGTCATTAGTCGTTAGCTCATTTAAGGAGATAATTTGATGTTCTCTCGTAACACGCACCCTTCTATGCGCAGAGGTGCACTTGTCGCACAAAAATTCCGCGCACTCGTTGCATTGCCCTGTAACTTCCGCATTGTCTTCACAGTTTCCGCATTTGATCGGGGCTTTCTTTTCTTCAACCGCGTAATTCCGATTTTTGAGTTCCACGGCGATAAGAAAATTCACCGGCAACTCGTCAATTCCTTTGCTGCCAAGTTCACTAGGTGAAGAGCATATGGGGCAAATAACAGTGCCTTCTCTACCAGGCACATTTCCTGCGAGACTCTCGATACAACTTTTACAGAAGCTATGGAGGCATCGCAGCAGTTTAGGCCGGTGGAAAAATTGTTTGCACACACCACACAACAGAGACGGGTCGTTTAAAACACCATCGTTTCTCTTGGGTTTTTGCGGAACTTTGAACCCTTCAGCGACAAGTCCATCGCTTGACATTCTGTCCAGTTTCTCCAATGAATTCCAACGAATTGGCTGCGTAACATCATCGAAATAATCTTCAACTGCTAAACTTTCCCAGGTCTTCCAACGTCTCATAGCAGTGGCGATTTGCTTTGCCCAAACTGAAGCACTTGTAATTTTGCGCTGCAATTTACAATATTAGCTTGTGCTTTGTAGTCACGGAAATAAAAGCTAAGGTAAAATATGCCTTCGACCGTGGGTGAGAAATTCGAAACGATCGACTTCCTTTCTGTAGCAGTAGTAAATACGATGAAAATTGTCCAACTATATAAAAAAATATATCAAATGGACGATTATTTCGTTGCGTTCGTACCTTGCTGATTAATTTAATATGAAATACGTTAACTCCTTTAGCAACAGTTGGGGGTATGTGTTGTAAATAATTTATGTATTAGTCAGTGAAGTCGCAAGTGATATTCCTAAATTCTGCATCATTGTTTTGCGGGGGAGCAAAGAAAGTAGGTACTGTCTCGTTTTACATATCTAACTCTCACGCACGGAAGCCAGTAGCTGCTTTAGAATTAAGACTTCCTCTGGGTAGATGACAAAAACCTTGTGGTATGTTTTCCCCACAGTCATAATAACCAGTTTTGAACTGTGGACGGAAATAAAATTTGTCATAATAAGATTTTAAACGAAGAGTGTTAGTGTTGGCAATCAAAATGCGTCCGATTGTCTTCAGTTAGGACTTTCGAGTAACAATGTTCAAAGTTTTGGTAAAAAAAAATGTATATTATATGCACAGTTCTTTCTCAATAATGTATGTTTTAAAAACATGTCGAGACATAGAGGTTGTGGTAACAGGTGGCATTTTACAAACACATGGGCTATCAGCCAATCACGATTCTGCCGGTTTGTGTAGTGAAAACCTTCTGTTGATTTATTAAAAGCTGGTTAATGTTTTCGTCGGAGGAACAAGGTCAGGTAATGGCGACATACCGACTGAGTTAACAATGCATGTCGGTAATGCTGCTAAGTAGCGTGACATACTGCGTGACAATAATGTCAAATTAGCCCAGGATTAAAAGGAGCATTATGATTGGTTACCTGAGTAAACCGAATTTGTGTGATTACTAAGATGAACCACTCAGGAATAAGTTCACTGATTTTAATTCGTTGTTTTTTTTGAAAGACTGTACCAAGAAAACTGTCTTCTATTAAGTAAAAATGTCGATTTAATTGACTTGCTTGTTTTAATTTTACACAAATCATGAAGGTATGCATCTTGAACTCTTCCAGTTGTCCAGTTAGTTGGGGCGCAGCGCGAAAAATAGTGCGCGAAAAAATATGGGAGAAGCGCGGCTCGGCAAAGCGAGAGAAAGGCCTGTAGCATGTTTAGTCCGGTATATATAATTTTTTTTTTGNGAGGGGGGCTGTAGTTTTCAGGGTGACAGACATGACCTACACGACTCCTAAGGTTCGTAACAGTTGTAAATTTGCTTTTTTATTGATTTCAGTCTTCCTCCCTTTTCTGCGCTTTAAAACATGATCCAGGAAATGTTTGTCAACAGAGTTTGTGATCTTTTGCCAGTTTGACTTATTGTAGCTTTTCGTGGTTCTTTTCCATTGCAAGATGCTTTACGATAGTTCATCTCTATCTAAGCTAAGCGTTCCGCTCTGGAAGGATTTATAAATTTTATGACTGTACATGATAAACAGCAAAATTGATTCAGTTGAACCTACCTTCTGGTAGTTTCGTGGCTACCTTCTTCAACCGTAAAGAATGCTGAGGTTAACATCAAGTTTAGCGTATAAATGTATTGGAAAAGAACTCGGCAGACGGCAAATCTTTGAGCGCGGTTTTTTTTTTTTTTACTGATTTAAAAACTGCGTGATCGTGGCTATGACGCCATATCACATTTCTCATCAACGTCAGTAGCGTTCGTGCTCTGAAAGAAATCTGTCAAAATTGACCAATCAGAGGTTAGCATTCGTTAAGTTTGCCAACAGAGTTGCCCACAGAGTCGCCCACAGGAGTCCACAGGCGTTCGTTCACTTCTCGAACCAAGCCCCTCTCTCCTTTTTTCGCTCCGCCGTTTACTCGCGCTGCGCCTCGACTAAGTCAAGTAACTGGAAGAGGATAGACACAAACAGCAGTGATAAACATAATACACCAACACATATTTAGACTTAACTTGACGTTTCATGTACTACAACTTAACATACATTCCCCAGCATACAAAACGTCAGGTTTAGTATAAAAGTGCGTTGGTGTGCAATGTTTATCAACGCTCTTTGTGCTATGTCCTAACTTTATTCCAGTCCTCTCGACCGAGGAGGGTTTGAGAGAGGACATCGATGCTTGACCGTTTTGGGAGGTGATCTACCCGAGTCACTCTTATTAGCGAGAAAAGGTGGAGACCCATGATTTAATCGACACAGGAGCTCCTGATTCAACGCTGGTTTCCTTCCCGATAACAGCTATTGGTTGATTTCTTACTAAAACAGGTCGAATAGAGCAACGACTTTTATTTGTTGGAAAGGGTACCGAGGCCCTCACAGCTTAGAGGGACGGGCGGCCCTGGAGACCAGAATGGTCTCACATGCATGAACCAACATGGCCGCCAGGTCTGCGTGGAAAATTTTACAGCGTAGCGTACGATCAACCGATGAGACTACTACTCACTTTAGACAGTGCATTTTTCAAAGGTTAAGGTGCTGTTCTTCGAATCCAGGATCACAGGGAAAAATTCCAGAGACTGAAAGCGAGGAGTCCAGAGAGAGACCTCGTACATACTCTCGACTAGTACGTTCGGGCATTCGTAACTTCTGTAAGACGTCTGGCAAACCAAATGAAATACCAGAGCTATTTAATCAATTTCTTCGCCTTCCTGAACAGTACAAGATAGCGTCTGTAGACAGTGCGTTATACTGGTTGTCATATTATGACAGGAATGAGGCAGCGTTTGCGCTGAAAAATCTCATGGAAGAACATGGTATTCCTAAGAGCTACTCAACATATTCTGTTCTGGCCAAATTGTACTCCAGGTCGAATCACATGGCAAATTATAAAACCATGTTCGATGAGATGATTAAGGACGGTTTAACTCCTACAGCTCGCCACTATGTACCTTTTGTGGAAGCATTTACCCAGAGAGGCGATCTCATGGGAGCGTTCTCGTGTCTGGAAGAAATGCAGCGGTCTGGGGTTGTTCGTGAGAGAAACATTGATGTACATACCGCGCTAGTTCGAGCTTGCACAGGCCAAGATAGTCAGCAGTTACAAGACAAAGTGTTGGAGATTTTTCGTGAATTTCGAGCTTATCGGGACCCATTAACTAACGACACTCTGGAAGCAATTAAGACGTGGTTTGACAGGTACATGTAAGCTGGAACAATGGCTGCACTCAAGAAAAGATGAAGGGTGAAAGAGTTTTAATCCCTCATATAGGCCTCTTTCTCAAGCTCATTCCTCTTAAGATATCTTTAGATCACTCATGGCTTCAGAAATTCCACGAGGGTCTAGCCAATTGTGTGACTCAAATTAGACATGGACAGCCCAATTTTGTTTACACGCTTTTCCTGCAAGAAAATATCTACCACATCTTCATGTGGCAAGGTTATCCTGGGGATACCATGTCTAAAAATAGCTTGAGAGGCATTACCTTTAGAAAAAGGCCTATATGAGAGATTACCTCTTTTACCCTGCATCTTTCAACTGAACTAGAATATGGTAATTAAAAGAAAGTTCATTCATTCAAGCCTACCCTCATTCCTTCATTTTGTCCATCTGTCAGTCTGTCAGTCAGTCCATCACTCAGTCAGTTCATCCATCTGTCCATCCATCCATCTGTCTGTCCATTATTCATTTGTTCGTTCGTTCATTCAGACAACTTTCATATATAAGTTAATGATTAAGTGGCTAATAGACTGAATGACTGGCTGCTTGACCTTTCTAATTGTTAACATAAATAAATAAATAAATAAATAAATAAATAAATAAATAAATAAATAAATAAAAAGAAACAATTTAATGACAAACAGTTACTTAGCACCAAGAGCAAGAATTAGTTAATAGGGATATAAAAAGAATAACTGTTAAAAATGAAATAAAAACTAAGGTGGTTTGGGTTAAAAAGATGTCATTGATTCTGACTGAAATATAAATGACTGTCTGAGTGACCCACCGACTGAATTACTGACTGACTGAGTGACTAACCAACTTACCTACCACTGACCATTGTTTAGTATGTATTTTTGAGAAATTTTCTTGGGCAATAATAATTATTAGTTCCTCCTAATTTATATACAGTACACATTTGCTTAAACTAAACTTGTTCTGTTTAATTTGCAGTCAAAGGAGTCCCAGATGGATGACTTCATGGTCCACTCCTTCAGAAATGTAAGCTCTCTTCATTGCCCAACAAACAGCAGTCTTTTTTCAGAACCAAAATCCTCATTTTTTTTATAGTTGACCAATTTTTTATGACACACAAACATGAAAGGGTTGATTTTTGGTTGAGGAAACCAAAATTCAGCCCATTGTAGAAAGTGTGAAATCGCCGAGTATGAAATAGTCAACAAGGCTGTGCTCTAGAAGTGCTTGAATGCCACTGAGGTGACTAACTTTTGACTCTGGGTGGCTGGAACATTCACTTTTTTATATAATCTTAAGTGCTGGGCACTCAGGATTTCATGGTTAGGAACCATTGGGCTCTTCAAAATATTTCTTAGACCACAACCTTGGCCAGTGGTAAATGGCTGAAAAATTCAAAATTTATGCAAATTGAAGAGAAGTGAGCTTGAGAACAGGGAGATTGAATAGCCAAGTTAGAATATTCCTGTTTATAATCCATCAAATATTTTTGCTTTTGTGCGATTGGTCTAAACGCATCATGTGACTCAATATGCCTCAGCTAAAATTGGGGAATGTCCAAGTGACATTCCCCATTTTTCAAAACCATCATGGGTGTGTTGTGAAAAATATTCGAAGGATAATATTAAACACAATAGCCTCCATTTCACACAAAAATATGCTCCGATATTACTTTGTCCTTGGACGTTATCTGTTCCT